GGAGGAAACCAATTGATGAATTTGAGACAAAACCTTCCCTAACTTCTGGATGAGACACTACCTTCAGAGCCTACAATGAGGTCATAATGGATCTAGATTATTAATATTTTTCATATTCTTCTTCCTCATGTTCTTGATATTAATTGTTAAATTATTAATCTTAACAATTTGGTCACTATTTCAAAATCTGTAAAACACTGGTCATATTTTTGTCTTGGATTTACCAATACTCAGCTGTAGGATGTATCTTCCTAGGGTAGCCCTGGCCATAGTACCTGTTACCACTGTTACGTGTTTCCTGCCCCTGGGTGACAGTAACAGATTTAGCTATAAAATTTTATGGCAGCGTTAGCTGCAATTTGAATAAAACTTAATAATACATGCTTTTAGGCTTGCAAGTTCTCTTGTATGCCAGCTCTTAAAAAATTGATAACTCAAAAACTGGTGATGATGGCTCTTTGGGTTTTGGTTGAGTTTTTTTACCAACTGTCTAAATAAATGCACCCCTATTAGTTGGGGGGGTTTGTCAGCTAAGAATAATAATCTTAAAACTAAACTGCAAGTACTATCTTGGTTAAAATCAGGTAGAATTGGCAGAGTTAATTTAACCTGCTGGATTTGGGCCAAGTTGTGGATAATAGTATCATTTATATTGACAGTTTTATATTCCCCCCTGGGTTCTATCTATTAAAAAAAAAAAGTAAACATTTAGTTAGCAAAAAAGTGATACTGTAAATTCAAAGAAGATCAAGAACAGATTTAAGGCAGTTAATTTTTTTCTGCTCCCCAGATTTTGCTAATTCAGGGCTCATGACCTGTATTGCACTTGAACCTTGGTTTATAACTTCATTTATGCTAATGAATGTCAGTTAGAAAACAGCAGTATTCCTTACTCTGCCATTTCATTTTATTCCTTCTGCGATAAGATGAATTATGGTGTCTTATTCAGCACTATGGCATAGGACGAGCTGGCGAATGGCTGTCGTGAAATGCAATACTGGGGCACTTTATTTTTTTTCCCCAGACGTTTAAACTCTGAACTGTTGGATTCTGACTGAATTCAGTTCTTGAAAGGGGGTTTTGCAATTTGGATTTTTGTTTTCCCTCCAGTAAAACTAGAAAAGGACATATTTCCTTTGCTGTACTCTCTGAAGATTTTTTTCTTGGTTTTTTTTTGCTGAGCCTTGAAAATTCAAATAGTCAGAAGAGCTTCCTATGAATAAATACCCTATTCTGAAATACATTTTGCTATCTAGAGTTTTAAAAAATTGATTTTAAAGGAATTTTTTTGGCTTTGTGAGATGTATTCCTTAGGTGCCTTCATATCTTGCAGAATTTTAAGGTATGTTATGCTTTAAAGAGGTGATGTTGGAAGTGATTCTTTAAAAGGCTATTGGCTTTCCGTGCCACAGTGGTTATTTAATTCTTTCTGCCTTAATTCTTTTTTTTTTTTTTCCTCCCAGTGTCACAGCTTAAACTAAGCCGTGGCCTCTGCAAGTAGAGTTGAGCTGATTCAGCCCCCTTCCCTGTAGCAGGCAGTGCTCTGTACCTCGCAGTGGCAGAGCGTACTTCAGCCGTCAGTGAAGTCGTCTTTGCGCTTAAAGGCTTGTTTTGGTGCTCCACAGGGGACAGCTTTTTTCTTGAGCCTGGCCCTGCAGGTACTGTGTGACAAGGTCCTGAGCAACCTGGTCTGATTTGGCCCTCCTTTGAGCAGGGATGGGACTAGATGCCCTCGTTAGGCTAAAGATGTGTGTCTTGGCTCGGGCAGAGAGGGTGTCAGGATTGGAGCTTCCCTCTCTGGAGTGTGAGCAGGGTTGACCTGCACTAGTTATCTGAACTTCTTCTGTCAGACTTCTATCCCTGTCTCATTAATACATGTGATCCCAGATTTTTTTTTTTCCCCAGATTTGTTTTCATCTCAATGAGGAGGGAAGCTGTATGTCAGGCACGCTTCCAGATGAGTATAGCAAGACTGTCATCTTTTATAAAACAGTTCTTACGTGGCAGGAAGATGCTGTAACCTACACAAGAGTTCCCTATGGCCAGACAAGAGCAGTCTGGTCTCCAGAGCATGGTGCCACCATGCTGTCCTTAGTGACCTCTCATTTCACGTTTGACTGCCCTAGTGGTGTTGAAGCACATTAGGTGCCCTACTTCATAAAATGGCTATTTAGCAGGAATCCCATGCTACTGAAACAGATTTTGTCAATGATGAAGTAATTTTTGCTTATATTTGATCCCTTCCTGAGAAAAGATGAGTTAGTGCAAGGTAGAGACCTTGCACTAACTCATCTTTCCTCTAACCCAAAGTAGTGTCCCCCAGCCTACCTTCTTTTAAAAGCAGCCCAAGATAGTCCTTGACTTACGTTCTGAAGGAGGTTTATGTACTTTTTAGTTAATGTGACTTGAAACTCCCATTACTCATAGATGCAAAAGATTTTTCTTTTTCCCCTCCTACCAAACGCTTGTCCTCAATTCCTCCTTTTGGTAATAAGTTTCTAAAATCAATTATACACTGGTTTTTAGCTTTTTTTAATAGCTTTTTAGCTACACTGAATAGAGTGTAATTATGTAGACTGCTGTGTGCTATCAAACTCAAAAATAGGTTGTAGTTAAATCCACAAGACTACTGTTCTAGAGCTTTGTAGTATTTTGTGACAAACCGAATAGTCTTCTGTCTTCTGTCTTGGTACCCAAAATACATCACTTGGGAATTATCTAAACTAACTGGTTGTCATTATCGGGGCAAACTATGAAAAGATGTCTTCCTCAGAGGTAAACAGAGTGTTTCCTGGAAGTTTGTTTATGCTATTATGCTTTTTATCATGAAATCCTGGTATGTGGAGAACTAGATTTGAAGAATAGATGGTACTTCAGTGGGGATGGTTTCAGTGACAGTGTCGCGTGAAGCTAAGGAACTACGCTGGTCGGTGTGATAGCTTCCCATCGGAGCAGAAAGCCGTGGAGGGCAGCACTTTCTCAGTGACCTCCTGTGCTTGAGTTTGTGATTTTGGGTTTTCATTCTCTCCCTGGCATCCAGCAGGATGGAGCAGAGGAGGTTAGGAAGGCTTCATCAGGAATGTGGCAGTGCTAGCTTAGGGTGCCTTGCCACCCCCAGGGCATCTAGAGCTTTTGGAAACAGTGGCGTTGGTTAATCTCTTCGGTTCAAAGTGGCTCTGATTTTCCCCAGTGTTGTATGCATTTGCTGTCTCAGAGAAAAGCTGCTGAAAGGGCAGTACTGGTGTATATAGACAGCTCTCGCTTTCCATGCTTCTGTAAAAGCTTTGCTTAATCGGCGAGGATGGAGGGAGATCATATGCAAACAAGTGCAGAAGTTGTTTGTGTTGGGGAAAATAGGTCCCATCCCTGGTCCCATCTTTCCTGAACACAAGCTGAAAATTTTAGTCTGGTATTTTCTGGCTGTCAGGCATTAGTGGTGCCTGTGACTTTGGAAGATTGGCTCTTGCAGGGCTCCTCTCTGTTTACCATGGGATGTTATTTTGTTCCTCCTCCAGCCTGAGGTTTGAATCTGTGAATTCCTTGGCATTTTCTAGGGGGGAGAAAGAAGAAAAGAAAAAAAAAAAGTCTTTATTTCTGTAGTATTTGGGCTGTACTTCTCCCACTTGCATGATAAGTACAACTGGTGTTTGTAGAGCTTAGGTAGTTTATCTATTGGGCAGAGGGAAGAAGCAGCTCTCCAATAACTGCTAAAGCTCAGAAGTTGTCACAGTTTAAGACCTTAAATTAATGAAATTGTTTTGGAAGTCGGTGTCCTGGTTGGCTGAATACTGGTGTTATGGACTCACCATTTTTTTTTTCCCCTAAAGTTAATTTAAGTGAATATTTTAGTTTCTCCTTTACAATAGTTTTGAATATAGAAGTGACATGGATGGAGGGATACTCACTCTAGTCTGTACTATTCAAACATATGCTCAAATGATTCACAGCCTGTGTTTACAGCATTGTGTTTTCATGTACTTGTCTGCCCCAAGTAAAATTTGAATACTTGAGGTAGTGTTGTAGGCTTCTCTCATGTTTTACCATTTTTTACTTTTGCCTATAGAAGCTACCCAATCAAAAGTATGGAAGCAACTTGTCAAAAGCTCAGGGTTCATCATACTGGAAGATAGTGGGGCAACTTTTTTTTTCTGCTTTTAAAAAGGGGTCTTATGCTCAATATCCACATTTAAAAAAATAAACAAAACCCCCTACCCCCTCACCTCCTCCTCCCCCTCCCCCCCGAAAAACAACAAAAGCAAAAGCCTAAAAAAGTAGCTTGTTTTCCTTCCCTTGCCCCTGTGAAATGGGTAGCTGTTGGTGCTGCATTTTGTGCATCACCTCTAATAGACTGTGTTAACTTCCTATAGAGAGTACTGTCAGGTTCAGAAGTGACATCCTGGTCCTTCCAATCTCTTAATGGTTTGAGGCCAGCATACCTGAAATATGCACCAAATGACCAAACTTGAGCTGCTGTTACTGAAATCAGTGGTCTCTAATGTTGTCATAGTATTTTTCTTTTATTCTCACACTAGTTATTAAAAGATGCCTTCTGTCAGAACAGAAACGGTAGGGGTTTTTTTGCAGACTGTCTCTGGCGGAAAGAAAGTTGTCTGATGCATGCTTAGAGGACCTCTGAAAACAAATTATAAAATATAGTTCTCTTTAGATGTCCTGTTTTTTCTAATTTTAGTGTGTTTTTCTAATTTTCAGTAATAAAGATGGCTATTGGGCTGCTTCTAATGTATGCTGTTACTTTGCATAATTACTATACTAGTTTAATCTTGTCATACCGTTCTAAGATTTTGTGGCTTTTAATATCATGTTATCTTTTGTAAAAATGATAAAAATATGGGTGTGAAGCATTTTTCTTCAAATTTTAAAGCTGTTAAATAACATAACTGCCTTTTTGCCTGCTAGTAATTTGGTAAACACTTTATTGTACTATACACTGAATTTGTGATGAACTAGCTAACTTTCTCATTTCATTTTGACTTCTCTAGAGAAGTTGGAGGTTGCACCACCATCTCCAGGACAACTGAAACATGGTAAAAGAAGAATGTTTGTTGAATGTGGTTCAGTACTTGTGCAGTCTGTCTTTCAAGTGCTTCATCTTTCTCCTACAAATGCTGATCTGTCCTCATCCCTGTTGTATGGAGTAACAGAAAACCAAAGCAAGCACCAACAGTCACCCAGCCTTCTTTATTTCATAACACCTCAGCTGGAGAATGTGCACCATTTAGTGAAAGTAGGACAGAAAGCCCAAACGAGACCACGCTGTTCAAAGCCAGCAGCAGACAGTTTTTGTAAACCGAGCGGTGTTGATGCTGCAATACCTTGTGGGGGTTTTTGTATTTAACTTTAAAACTGTTGACTTGCTTCTTGTCACATATATTTTAAATGGACTGAGAAGCAGGATAAAATTGCAGAGAAATTGGAAATAGATTTCGTATTCTTTATAACACCATAGTCATTCAGATTCTGATTTAGTTCCCAAATCAGTGTATATCTGTGTTTTTAAACTCTGTCAGTGAGCAATGTATTTAGTTGAACATTTTCCTATTCTAGTTATCTACACTTATTTTTCTTTGGTTTTTTTGCTTGGTCCCTGGGGTTCTGTTTACTCCATGGATTCCAAAATTCTGTCAACTTCGGTAAGAATTTGAGTTCCATTTGTAGCCCCAGAGTTTGTGCACACATTTTGAAAATACTACGCATCGCTGTGTGCTTTTTTTTGTTATTTATGTTTTTAAGTTTTTTGTCCTGCAGTGGTTTAAAAAAAAAAAATTGGAAAATTTCCTGCATTCAGTGCTTTAGTCTTTTACCTTTGTATTTAAGAAAGTATGTGTGTTCTTACAAAATAGTTACAGAAGTCCAAGCATATTCTAGTACCTGAGCATGAAAGATCTCGAGTGTGGCTTTGTTTTTAATATGATCATGGATTCATGCTGCCTGAAAGAGGTAAACCCAAAATGGACTCATACCAGCTTCTTTCCACATGACTGTAAGGTTCATGCACTCAGCTTTCTTCCCTCTTCATATGTTTACATCTCTAAGTTTATAAAATATAGGAATTATTGGTCCCACCTGAAGTGGGGAGAAAAACCCTAAATAGCTGATGTGTTTTAAATGTTAAAAAAAAAAAAAAAGGAAAAGTTATAACATTCTAAGATGTAGTTTTTAGTCATGTAGTTTGTCCTTGGTGCTGCATTTAGTTTTATGATGTTAGCACCTTGAAACTCAGCTGGAGGCAATGTTTTTCAAATTGAATCCCATCTCCATCAGAAGCTTACAAGCTAAAATTTGAGAGAGAAAATGGAGCATGACAAAAAGGCTTGTTGTTAGAAATTTTTCAGACCAGCATGTTCCAAGTTCCTGCAATAGAAAATATTTTCCAATAGGGTTTACTTGTAGTTTCAGGAGCAAAAAGAAAAAAATGTATGAAACAAAAGGTGGAACTTGTTTTCTTAAACAAGGTATTGAGGAGCAGCTTCAAGTCTAAATTGCTCTCAGTGTGGTGCCCGAACAAAATCAAGATATAGAAGTTTGGGTTGAACAGTGAGATAATTAACACTGTATGACACACTAATGAAAAGCACCTTAGCATTTGCAGATTTAGCTGGAGGAGTTTTGATGAGAATTGCCTAGCTCCAGGCAATTGTCTTAAAATATTTTTAGGAGTGCGTGAAGAAGATGGACCTCTTGCACAGGAAGAGAGGGGGACTTGCAGAGGAAGGGGCTTTATTTCAAGCAAGAGAAGAATGCAGGGAGTCAGTGAGACAGTTTGGCAATCTTCAGTGATATTGCAACATCAGTTGAAAGACTGTAAAATAGTATCAAAGTTTGTGTAGTTCTAGATATTTCTCTCTCAGTAGTAGGCATAATTGGCTTCCATCCAAAATTATACAGGTATTTGCAAAGAGTAAGTTGGTTTAACTGGTTCTTCGCAGGCCATTAGTAACACTTACGTGTAGCAAAGGGTTTTACCAAAATTGCCAGAAATAAAAAGGTCACTAACAGAAGTAGTAGGAAAGGGATTTTGTGTGTGTTGTCTTTGTTTCTCTTAAAGGCAGTATTAGACTGACATATCAGTAGTTCGTGTGAACTAATGAACTCTTACAAATATTTATTTTCTGTTTGTTACTTATTTCTTTTAGTGTTCTTCCACAATGCATTACCTTTTGTAGGGTTTGGATTTTTGGATAACGCAATTATGATTGCTGCGGTAAGTTTGCTATTTAATTCCTTGATCAAGTCAGTAAGGTTCATGTTGTTCAATTACTAAATGAGTAAATGAAAGCTTCAGGAAGACTGTTCCCTCTGTATTGACTCATTAATGTCTCTTTTAATTTTTCTTTTTTAAAGAAAATGTCCATGGTCTATTCGGCCTTTGCAGAATGGAAGGGAGTGTTGTTCCTTCTGAAGCACAGTACTGTAACTAATTTTACTGAATTGAGAAGAGGCTTTTTTCTTTCCTCTCCTAATTTGTGCTGCAAGACACATTTATGATCATGTAGTCAATACTTTTTTTTTTTTGTACCAACTGATGATAATGTGATTATGTGTTGATGAATAAGTCTTTAAGGTTTTTACTGATGAGTTCCTTTGTTCTGAGTGATGCAGGCAATGTTAGTGCTGATGCTGATTTGTACTGATGTAGCCTGGCATTCCTGAGTAACACTGTTGAGATATTTTCCTGTTCATTTGGAAGATGAAATGGGCCAGCGGAACAGGAAGATGGATAAAGGCCAAAGATACTGTTCCTTGTGTAGAATTATCGTTGACAGTGTGATCTTAATCATGGGATAATGCAGGTGGGAAGGGACTGGAGGACCCACTAGGTCTCTAGTCTTGCTCCTGCTTGGGACCTTCTCAGGGTCTCTAGTCTAACTTCTGCTCAGTGCAGGGTCATCTGTAAGGTCGGATGAAGTTGTTCATGGTTTTATCCTGTGGGTCTTGAGAAGATCCAAGGGCAGAGACTGCACAGGCTGTCTGGGCAACCTGTTCCAAAGGTCAGCTGTCCTCACAGTGGAAAACATTTTCCTATATCCAGCTGGAACAGGTCTTGTTTTAATTCATGCACATTGTCTCTCATCTTTGGACCGTGTGCTGCTGTTTCATCGTGCAGTTCACTGATTTTGTTCAACTGAAAAAGTAAGGAGCTACAATGCTGTGTTTTATTGATTTGCTCAGTGTTTGTAGAAGTTTGAATATTCAGAGCTGTGCATTCAGCTAAGAATTACAGTGGGGAAAATAGTATGCAGAGATAAGGATTATAGTTTTGTCCATCAGGTGGCCACTATGAAACAATATAAAATATTAAAAGAATATCAGAAGTAGGCTCTTGTCCTGGGGGAAATACTTATGCTCTGAGGGTAGGAGCTCTGCAGATCTAGTAGACGTAATGTCCATTTATCCTTTCAATCTTGACATAAACCAGCAGTAAGCAATATTTTTGTCAGTTGAAGCAATATCATCTATTTTAACTCCCAATCCCTCAAATAATGAGAAAACTCTTATTTTTTAGGGAACCCAAATAGAGTTGTCAATTGGAGTTATCCTAGGAATTTCAACTATGGCAGGCAAGTAATGAAAATGCAGCATGTGTAGACTAATATGGCACATTCCTATATTTTAGGCTGAAAGTGGGCCACAGAGCTGGAAGTGGCTCTTCCTTGCTCTTGCAGCTGCCTTTCCTAATAAAGAAACAACCTATGGTTGAAGCAAGGACATATTCCATTTGGAGAAATGGAATTTCAGTTCGGATAGCTTTTGAAATGCTTGTTGTCGGTTTTAATCTAAAAGTTCAAATCCTTGGTCGCTTAGGAAAGTGTATCTGCATTTCTGTAATGGAACTGCTCTAAATTCCCTAGGGTCTGATATTTATTTATGTGTATATATGTATTTTTAAGTTGCTGTTTGCTCGCAGTGTTAAGTGAAGATCAATGTTGGTGTCCTTTTACTGTGTTGGCTGGTGCTCTCGGTGGCTTCTCTGCCTCTGTGTGATAGCATGGAAGGCCAGGCACCCATCCTGCTCCTGCTCTGGGCCAAAACTGATAAGGTCTGCTTGCCAGCTTTGGTGCCTCTGCAATGTCAGAGGGGAGAAAAAAATGCTTATGGATCCATCAACTGCAGGTGCAGCATTGCTCAAAAGCATGCAGATTGCTTAAATGAAAATGTACATAGCAGAACAAGTTAATCATTTGGAAATTTGAGGCCCTCTGTTGCAATGCAAGACAGTCACAAGCAAGCTTATCTCAGTAAGATCTGCTGTGAAATCATGTATTTTAAGTGTGTAGCTTTATTCAATCATACGTACACTATTTATTCCTAAACTGACACAGTTCATGAGTATGTTGAAATTTTTATAAAAGCTACATAGGTGAGAAACAGCTCCTTCTACTGCCAGTGGTCCTGTGCCTCTTCAGGTACTGGAAGGCCTTGCTTGGGGTCCAGTGTTAGCTATATGAAGCTGGCAACCACACATGGCCGTTTTTAACTCTGATCTGAAAAGTTGTTACGTTGATTTCCAGGTGTCAGTGTTGTCTTTTGGTATTTGTCAAGTTTTCTTCATACAAGTTGAGAAAATACAGTTGCACTTCCTATAATTGTTAGTCCACTGCTGTTATTACAAACTGTAATAAGGTCAGAAGAAAAACTCTAAAATAAAAGAAACTTAGTTCTACTCTTGTATGGTATATATACTGAGAAGAGATGGTCACTGGGGGCGGAGATGGGAGCTGGTTGGTTTTGTTCGTAATTAAAATAATACTTTGCCTTCTCCCCTTCTCTTCCCTACTCCTCCCTACAGCTGCTGCTTTGGGAAACCTTGTTTCAGATTTAGCTGGACTGGGGTATGTCTGAACTTGTATTAAGAATATGTTTTGGTTTTTTTCCTCTCTTGAAAACACTGTTGGTGCTACTGAACTAAAACATGTAAACTGCTGAAGTTGCTTCATTTTTTTTCCTAGCTCTTGAATTTTGCTTCAGTAGACTACATGACTGTAGAAATGTCTTCTGTCCTTGCTAAGAAAAACTTGAAATACTAGGTAGTTCCTGTTGAGGTTAAAACTGCCATGCCATAGCTCTGAAATAGAGTAATTCTCCTGCTATTACAGTATCATGTATTTTAAGCGATAAAATCAGGATTGACATTTAACCTGATTCAGTGTAGTCTGTAGGTAATGCTTGCTTTTAAGGAAGTACTAGAACTTTTTCTACAAAAAAGTGCGTTCATTAAAATACAAAATGGAAAAATACATTTTTTTGTGATATAATATATTGCTGTGATAGAATATACCTTCTCAGATTGTTATGTCTAAATCTGAAGATATCTCCTTCTCCTCAGATAAAACAATTTTGTATCTGAAATATCTTCAGATCTAGGCATACCTATTTCTGATATAAACAGAAGCAGCTGACGTTTTTTAGAGGAAATTTCTAAGTAACTGCTGAAAGTAAAGCTATCTGTTATGCGTCTTTTTCCCACTTTCTCTCTAATTTTTCTTCTGCAAATAACAAGGCTTGTTACTAACTAGTGTGTGTGTGTGTGTGTGTGTAACCTTTCCTCCAGTAAAAGTTACTTACAAGCTCTGCAAAAATATGGTAACATTCACACCAGTTGTCTTACTGCATAAGGTTTTTCTGGAAATATTGCATATTAAATCAGTGAGAAAACTAGTTAACTTACATTGCAAAATGTGACCATCAGAAGTCTGAACACTTTCCCATATTTACCTCTTGATGACTTTATCAGTATGCCGAAGGAAAAGCTATTAGTTTTAAGTTCAGTGCTTCAAATATTTCAAAATCCTCACTAGATGATAGTGTCAGATCCAAAATCATTTGATCTTGTTTTCTTGTTCTTCCAGTCTTGCAGGTTATGTAGAAGCTTTAGCTTCACGACTGGGTCTGTCAATCCCTGATCTGACACCCAAACAAGCTGATATGTGGCAAACGCGTCTCAGTGCACACTTGGTGAGTATCCTGTAGGTAGGCACTGTTTGCGTGGAGACTTTTTTTGTTTAAACTAATACGTGGTAAATCCTTTTTGTCACTTTTGCTGTTAAATACTTAATGACCACCAACATTTTGCACATTTCTTGGAAGGTTTAGTTGTGAGCCTATGTCAGGGAGCATCATGAGACTGGATAGTTTTGGGCTTGGGTGGGTTTTTTGTACGCAACAAGCCACGAGTGAATAGTAACGTGGAAAGTCTCTGCAATGACTTCATGTATGCTATGCAGGTACCTGGGCTGAGCCCTGGCTACTGTGATAAGATAGCTTATTTGAAAGTTATGACCCCTTAGTAGTTTACTCCTATACGTTCTTTGTCAAGTGCTTGCTATTCATATACCTGTGCTAGTATGCATTAATTTCTAATAGTTTATAATTAGCTCAGATATAAAATTAGCTTTCCCCTGGGTAAACTTCTAGCATTTGAGTAATACTCACTGCCTGGGTTTACGGTTATGGAACACTCATCTTGCAGATTCATTTTCAGGATGATTACTTAATTAACATTTAAACATTTGAAGCAGTCCCACTTCAGCAATGAGAGAATTAGTTTATTTTGATTAAAGAAACAGATTATAAGAAACTGAATAAAGAAACTGATATTTCTTTCACTTTGCCAGAATGAACCTTCCTGGGGAAAAATATCTTTGCAGGTTTAAGGGAGGAGAAATAACACTTGCTGAGGAAAAGTTAGGGGGGAAAAAAGGTCTGCTTTTAGCAGTGATAGATCAAAGCATTGAGCAGGGAAGAACTGGCATGTTGTCAGTGGGCTGCCCTCTAGTCTGTCCAACTAAGAGTCTTCTCCGTGGAAGCTGAGTCTGTGGCAAAAGCCTGTCATTGCACTGCAGTTCATTCACAGCACTTTTCTGTGAAAAGACTTCTGAGCATTTTTGCCTGTATGCTAGCATTTTTTCTTTTTACCCATTGTCTCAAGTTTCTCAACACTATCCACCTGCTGCTGGTGATGTGGTTTGGATGTTGCCTGTCTTACTTCTTTCCTCTCCTATTGACTTTTACATCTAGATGAATTGTGAAATGTTTTCCAATTTTTTTTTTTTTTTTTTTTTTTGGTCTTTGCCTTGTGCCTTTGCAAGCGATCATGTTTGATAATTTGCATTACCAGATACAAGCAGATACATTTATAATTGCACCTAAAATGTGTGTGTGGTTTTGGTTTTTTGCTTTCTTTTTGTTGTTTCCCTCCCTCCACCGTCTTCCTGGCCATCTCACTAATCCTTTGAATGTCTGTGTCCTCCCTTACCGCCTGTGCAGCTCTTCATGGGTCATTCCCCTCCTCTTTGTTCAGAATTGTCTTTTGTCACAGCACATGCTGTTTCTAACCTTGTCATATCTGTCTCTCTCTCATAGATTGTGTTTCTAGTCTGCATGCTAAGAAAAATGTGGCTCCCAACCGAAAACTAGAGCAAAGGGTCTGTTTTCCGGGTTGTGTTGGTACTACACAGCAAATCAGTAACAACTGATCAGTGAGAAACTTAATTTTTCCCCCCTTTCTCTAGGGTAAAGCTATTGGAGTGACCATTGGCTGCATTTTAGGAATGTTTCCTTTGTTGTTCTTTGGCGATGAGGAAGAAAAACTGGAAGAAAAAAATTAACCTTTTTACAAGAAATATACAAATGTAAACTACTGTACCTCAATTATTCAATTATGCTGTCAATATTTAGGAATTAACAGACAGTAAAAAATGTATAGACTTGGGAACAAAACCTTCAGCATGTCGTTTTATGGAAACACTAATTTATTGTGGCTTTGTTGTGTTCAGTACTTCTTTTTATAAGGTACCATCTAACTTTTTATTTAAATGTAAATTTTTGAAGTGTTTTCACTTATGGCAACTGATGTTTACCACTTTCCCTTTTGACCTTATTCTTTAATGGATTATTACTTTAATAATCCATCATGGATGACAGTATCACTCTTGAGTTGCGTATTGGTTGCTTAACAGTTGTAATTGCATGACAAATTTCACTGCTGTTCATCAGGTCCTTCAATGCAGATTATTAAGGAGGTCAGTGATGAGTAATTTGAAGTCCCTCACTTTGCGAGATGGCTGGTTGCCCCCTCACCAGCCATCGTTTTGCACTGCCTTTAGATTAGAGATTTCAGTGATCTACGACAGCCTAGCTTGCATTTTTTCACAATTCTAAGTGTCTCTGAATAGTCTTCTGAGATGATCATTTTAATGCTTTGACAAGGTAAGTGTTCTAGTATAGGCTCTTTACCAAGTCCATTTTTTAGTGGTGTTTTAACACCTTCTGTACTTCTATATTCAATCCTCTTTTTTTCCTTTGTAAACAATATTTTGAGAATGGAGACATCCTTAAATTTGTCTTCCTGAGTTTTGGGTGTGGTATTAAGGAATTCAGACCAACTGTTTCAAAACCACAAACAACTTTTTTTTATTGTTCTGCTTAAAATAAGGTGTGAATAGTTGATTGGGTGGATGAGGCCGGGCAACACTTCAGGGTATGAGTGCTGGCATTGCAAGTTTGTAATGGGTGGTTCAGTTGAAATAAAGTGTACCATCAGTCTGGATTAGAGGACCTGATTTGCAGATTATAACTTTGTATTTAAGATTAAGCATTTGCTACTTTTTTTTTCTGCTGTGAGACAATTAGTAAAAAAACCCAAACAACAAAAAAAGGAGACTTGAGGCCTTTTTCCTTTTTTGCCTTTTATTTTTGCTGTCTTACTTGGTGTTTTATAGATCTGACAGTGCAGTCACATGTAGCTGTACTTTTTTTATATGGTCATGAATAAATTGATTACAACTATCAAATATTCATAATATTTCAGGATCTGACTTGCCAATAGCATAATGCTAAACTGATAACTGTTGATGAGAGGAGAGGTTGCTTACCTGTTTCAATACCATTTGGAAAGGACACTAAAAAGAGAGGCACAGCCAGGGCACTTTGAAAGTCTTATTGCTGGAATTGTTAGCACTTCTGAAACCTAGAAAGAAATGTTTTAAAAAAAAAAAAGTCCCTTGATGACTTATTTGCCATAGGAAAAGTCTTACTGTAATGTGTATGTTTTACAGAGCTCATTGCTTATCTCTTGGTCATAAATCTGACTTCTCTGTTCTTATTTCTAGAAGCCCTTTAACAGCAGTATTGAAACTTTGACATCAACCTTTAATGAATATGACAGTGTTGTATCTGTTTTCTGAAAAGCAGTCTTTGAAAACTTGCAGTGAGTAGTCCTAGTAGCTTGTACTGTACTTTGTACATTAAGCCATGAGAATCTGGACCAAACTGTAAAACTGAAAAAAATCTCAGCCAGGCATAGAACACAAATGCAGAGGAGTTTTGGCTTGCATTTTCAAATTTGGAAGCTTTATTTAAAAAAACAAAACAAAGCAAAAAAAACCCCCTCCAACCACAAAACAGAAAACAGAAAAAAAACCCAATCCTGCTAGAAGATTATGCACTCTTTCCCCAACAGATTGCTGCTGGTTTACAGTACTTCAGTGGTCAGGGTTTTTTTTTAGTCATCCACACATTTGTCTTGCCTTAAATTAACTTTTCTTCCTCTGCATGTACTTTTGTTTCTGGTATCTTTCTATACAAAGCTGTAAGTATTTCCCACATGTTCTTTTTTTAAACTGAAGTACACATCAAAACAACTTTGCATTGCTTTTTTGGTGGCTGTTTTTACAGTAATTCCAACACTGTTACCTGTTATGATACTGGCATCTTCATTGGAATCTTCCAGCAGTGGCCAAACCTCTGTTCTTTGCTGTTGTACCAACTGGAACGCTGTTTTCATCACTTTTTTTTTTTTTGTTATTGCTCATGAGAACAATTGGAAGGCTGTGTCAGCTGTCATAGTAGTGTTGATTTTATAATGGCAATAGGAAAGACCGTGTACTATTGTTAAATAGCTTGTGCATGTAAATTGAGTATGTTTTGTTGCTGTATGTCGAACTATTGTACTGCAACCAATGCTTTTATCGAGAATTAATGAACTAAAATATCTTCAAAGAAAGTCATCATGTGTCGTCTTGTTAAACTATTTAGCTGACCACAAAAATGTGGAGGGTGAGTGACACATGGTAAGAAATCTTGGGTGTTTCAGGCTGTTGTCTGATGCTGTAATCAAGAAGGTGACTTCTGGGGTTTCAATATTTGACAAATGTGAAGAAATAACTCAGGATTTGAGAGGAATAGTGGCTCTGCTGGAAGCTGAGAGAAAGTGCTTGTTGGGGCCAAGCTGCCACCCTGAGTACAGTAGGGGTAGCTTGCTTCGCCTGCATGATCCACTCTTGTGTGGATGTGGTACTGCTTCGTGTGGAAGGGAAGATCTGTGCCTGATCTGTACCCTGTCTCCTCACAAGGAGGGTGGGTTTTTCTGGGGTATCCCTGATGCTCTGATCACACTTCTTAAAACACTTAACTGAGAAGACAGAGCACTACCAAAACACTTCTCTTTGGTTTTGTTGTCTTCTCCCTCCTCGATAAAAGGAAAAACAAACACTACAGGCTTATTCAGAGACTTCAGTATTGCTCCATTTTTTTATTCTATCAGTTTGTCCTGTGTTAACAGGAATTTTTCATGTTAAAGGGCTGGTAGACCTGAAATTGTGTTTATTTTAAAATGCTGTCTTTTATAGTAACTTAAAATATAAATGTATTTTTGACTGTATGTTATCTCTAGGGGCAAAGAACATGCATCAGATAATATGGTTACCCAAATCTTCTCGCCAATATTTTCTCATTCATGTACTTTTACATAAATTATTTGAATTCAGACAACATATTTTGTATTGTCTTTAATTAAATTGCCGAACTTTCTGTAAACTTTTGTACTACAGCAAAGCTGTTCTGTGTTTCTTTATTAGACCAGATGCTGGAGGGGAAATGTTAATAATATCCTGTGGGTATTCAGCCTCAGTTATACAAACCCGGAATTTATTATTTAAGTTGTAAGCAGGTGGTCCTTTGTCACTGTCATAGGAGATACCACTGTGGAGTGGTACTTCTGTCTCTTCAAGCTTGGAAGAGAGCAATTCAAACAATTAAAATGTTTGCATGGTAAATTGGTGGTGTTTGTGATTAATACTAGTCAGAAGTCCACTTGCGCTTGAGCTTCTGGAATTAACTGAATTTTTGTATGCAAACTAAGCCTTTTTGAACTTTTCTGGATGGACTTTGGAGCTCTTCACTTTTTTTTCTTTTTTTCCACTCCTTGGTCAGTCCCTTTTGTGGATGTCTGTACATAAAGAAGTGCTGCGAGTAAGACATCTGTACTGGAAGGATGGTCTCATCTCTTTTTGACAACCTGTATAGGTTGGCTGTTTTACTCTATTCTGATTGCATTGTGTAGTAGAACTCTTCATTAATGTTGTTCAGAGAGTATCACACTTCTAGCCAACGTGTTTCCCTCTTCTCTGATGTTTTACATGGTCTAATGACAAGCTGACAGAGCGGTGGTATATAAACTAAAGACCTTAATAAAGTATTGAGGAATTGTCATCCAGTCTTACGCCTCTGGAATTTTTTAAGCTAAAATATTAAGAAAATAGCGAGAGCTACTCCTGGTTGCAGTTAATGCTTTCATAACACAAATTCAAGCTGCTGTTTAAAAGTATTTAACATTTGTTAAGGCTTTTACCCTTGCCTCAGTGTTCGGGACCCTTGACATCCAGAGTGTTGCTTCAAAAAAGTATTGGGGCAGGGGGGATGGAGGGCTTTGAGCAAACTTGGAATTGAAAAGCCAGCCAAGATAAATGCAGAAGGATTTTTTTGTTTTGTTTGGGAAGACTACCTCCCCCAATCGGAAGAAGCCCCACTTTCTGGAGAGACCTGTGAGCTTCCCCCCTGCTTCCCTCAAAGATTGTGGTCACTAGGATTTGAGCAGGGCAGTCTTTGAGCCTCAGGTATGTAATTCAGAATAGTGACCTTGGGTAGCAACAGGGAGTGTGGAGTGCTGATGATGCCAAGGTAAGGCCTCTTGCAGCAGCATGAAGAGAACTAGCAGGAAACAGTTTTGGCTTAACAGTCTTCACCTTAGTAGTCCATAGGTATCTAAGCAACTGGCTTAAATAATGATGCAGCTCTGAATGATACTCCACAGTCTCGTGAGTTGCTCCTTCTGTGTATGTGTGCAAAGACTAAGTTGCTGTGAAATACCAAAATTATTTGACACTTTAAACCTGATGCATTTTGTATCCATTTTGTGTCCCGTTCTTGATACTGTGCTTATCAGTGTCTTATTTATCCTTGATTATGAAAAGGGCCTTATGCTTTTGCCTAGAGTGTTTGAGCCCTTCCAAACCTCTAAGTATTGGTATTGTCTATCACAAAATAGATTATTTTGCAATGGATTATGAAGCGTACTGAATGGGAGCATTTACTGTTTAGAGGACGTGTATCTGAAGAGTAAGATTTGCCGCATTGGACCTACAGCTGCCGTTCCTGTTGGGAAGAGGTTGCCACTGAGCAGGATGGTAGTGCAATTACACAGAGTGCCTTCTTGTCTTTGTGCAGCACTGCAGCTTGGATTTGGCAAGGTCATCTGTTTGCACCATGGTGATGATATATATTTTTTCTGAAAATGGCTTATCTGTTACTTCCAGGCAGGATTGAGGAGGAAAGGGAGGAGAATGGGATTTTGCCGGGTCATCTTCCCTACATGAGGATGCATAGAGGGTCTATTAAAAGAGAAAAAACTATGATTTGCATTCATGCTACTTCCCTGCTGCTCTCTGTGCCTCAGAGTGCTTTTAACGTGCTGGGAGATTGGAAGAAAGAGCTGATGAGGCTTCCCTCCCCCAGTGTGGCTTTTCTGCACATCTCAGCTATTGAGCTGCCAATAATTCCTGCATAGAAGTAACCGTCAAGGGAAAAATGATAGTAAAATATCCCCTTTTGAACACGGGAGTCCTTGAGTAGGAAAAGGAGAAGTATTGCAAAGGTAGATCACCTGTAATCAAACTGCCTGGTTACCAAAAGCCAGTTAGATCTTAAAAGGAAAACAGCCCCTTTTGGTCAAGTTTCAGATAGGCTTTGATGCAGCTCTGCTAGTGACTTTTCCTCTGCATGGTTTCCCCTGATTAGTTACTTGCCCCATTTTGTGTAGGAGCACTGAAGGTTGTTGTTTTCTTTCTACCCACTTTCTTCTGTGTGAGCACCAAAGCCTCTAAGGGATGGCAGGACTGGGAGAGAGACAGCAACCGGAGCCATTGCATGTGGGAAAACATCCCACAAAGAGGTCATGCTGTGAGAGGCAGTCTTGTCTTTGTTTATAGTCCTCCTCAGTTGCCTTGTAAAGGCAGGCAGACAGTGGGATTGTTTCTCTTGGAAAAGAAATTATTTTGTTGGATTGTGTTAGTTTATGCCAAGGGTTATTATACCGGCAAGCTGAGGAACAGGGCAGCCGTTCATCCAGTTATTAAAAAAAAGAGGAGGCTACCTACATTGGAAACCTTAACATCTCTTAGGATAACCATCTCCTTATCTCTGAGTAGATTGATGGCTTGTCTGTATGTTTTAGCAGATTACAAAGTTCTGGGAAAGCCACAACGCAGTTGCATGTGGTGTTTCTATGGGTCACCGAGATGACGGGTGAATAGTTTGGGTACATGTCAACTCGGTCACTTGCAGATATTCTGCAGGCTTCAAGGCTCTGTTTTCATATATATTAGGGGGATTCCTGAAATGGGATTTCTCTGCTTAAATGTAGCCTTTCCAAGTTGCAGCTGGGCAACTTCATCTGGGTTACTAACATAGCCCGTGACCCCTTTGCACATGGTAGAAACCAGCACTGGAGAATGTGTTTTGTCTGATGTATTGTAGGTGTCCAGTTCAGCATGGGATTGGTCATGCTCTGCAGGCAGGAGGTTACTGCCATACAGCCTCTGCACCGAAAATACAATGTTTATGGTAATCTTTATTGTCTTCTATTATTTTCCAAGCCACCGTGAGTATTTGGACCCTATTGGAGTTTCAGCCCTGTCCTTTGCCCAGA